AAAGTAAAAAGTGGCCCACAAAATGCCAGCCGGTGGAGATGGAAAGTGCCAAAGTGCGGACGCGGATTCCGGATTTCTGATTCCGGATCAGCTGCACTCGCCACATTGTGTAACTCCGGCCTGGGGTCATGAAAGTTTTATTAGGCATATGCAAATGTGTCAACTTTATTTGCAATATTTCGACACGTTTCGACATTTCGCCGACACTTGTTGCCATAATGAAACCCGATGCATATTTCAGCAGTTTTCGTCGCCGCCAGCAGCGCAACTGTTGCACAACTGTTTGTGTGGAAATTGCACGATTTTATAATTTACGCTGGCCATTGAAATATAAACAAGAGTAGTGTAGAGATGGGATATAGCTCAGTGGATGTAAAAACATATACCTTTATAGGTTTTTCAGATATTTTGAGGTTTGTAAATGTTCATTAGGTAAACTTATTACTAGTTAGTTTAAATAACTTCCATTTTAAATCTCCAGAGATTTCCTTAGTATTTATATAAATATTTCACCTGAAAGAACCCCTTCCAAATAAAATAAAATAATAATAAATAAAATTTACCTTTCCCATTAATTATAGCCGAAAAATAGATAGTAACATCACTAGTCCCCATCATGAACATTACAAATTAAAGCCTATTTTGCAGTGGCAAGAGTAAGAGTCCTCGACTATACATATATATTTGCACCATGTGTGGGAATGGGTGCGCATAAATTGCTGCTATTGTTTAAATATTTGCCAACATAATTAACTTAATTCAATTGGATTTCCATTAGAGCCGCACGCACAACGTCGAACGAAGGCAGCCTCCACCGCACTGTTTGCCCAGCTAAGGTAGTCGAGAATCCGGAGGATATCGGATGCAGGATTCAAAGGATTGGCCCTGCATAACATATGAGCGGGAAGATGAGATGCGTAGCTACGCTTTGACTTTGTCTGCGACTTTCCTGACGTCGTTGTCTATTGACTTTCGAAATCGAATCGAATCCGAGTCGAAGGCAGAGCAGCAAATCACAAAATAAAATAATTGATTCCATTTGAAATGCACACACACAGAGTGGAGTTGGAGCCTGGCAGTATGCGGGTCGTATCAGAATAGGACGAAGGACAGGGGCAGAGGACTCCCTTTTGCAGTCTGGTGCTGAGTACAACTTTATTTTCATTGTTTGCAGATTTAACATTTAACGCAACACAAACACAGAGCAGAGGAGCCGAGTCAGCTCAACTTGGTCATGGAGGTTACCCCAATTAGGCATCCTTGTTGACCGCCTGCAGCAGCTCCTTGCGGGTCTTGCGGCGCATCCTTAAATTCGAGATGAGGCGCACCGTGCAGAAGTAGATCAGCTCCACAATTGAGAGCATGGACACGCCCATAAAGAGACCCAGGAGACCACCACAGTTGGCAAGGAAATCGGTGGTACCATAGAGCTCAGAGCGGCGCGAGGTGAGGAACTGTGCCTCCTTAAAGAAGATCGACACCCGGGACATTTTCATTCTACAAAAAAATAATTTAAATCATATTATAGTATTAATTTTTTAGCAATACAAATCGTAGAATCATAGAATCCTTACCCCTCATGCTTGGCCTGCTCCGCCTTGCCCTCCGGCGTATCCGTATTGATCACCGTCTTGTAGTCAAAGTCCGCCTGGGAGATCTCTGCCTCGTAGGCAATCGAAGTGCAGGACGGCAGGCAGTTACACTCGGTTTCGCCACGGGCATTCTCGCCGGAGTTGACCAGTCCCTGGTTAAACTCCCTGAGCAGCAGCTCATCCTCCGCCTCGTTGTAGCACTTCAGGCTGGCAGCTCCGCAAACGGGCATATTGACATTACCTGACGTAAGCCGAAAGTAATTTGGTACATCCCCGAGGAATAATGTCCCGGAAAAAATGGTGCTTACGTGGCATGTTGAACTTGACGCAACCGCACTTGGATAGGGTGAAGTTGGCCAGGCACTCCAGCTCGCAGTTGCTCTGGGAATAGATGTTAAAGTAGCGCAGGTCCCGCTCCTTTTGGAAGTAGCACTGACGCCGATTGGGCTCGTAGTGCTTCAAGCCATCCGAGGTGGTGATGATCTTGGGCCGAATGGAGATGAGCACCTCCTGGTCGAAGGGTATGCGGAAGTACTGCTTCGACACCTGGGCCACGTCTCCGGGTGTGTGCAAAAGGATCTATTGGACTTTGCCTACATTAAGCTCTGGCAAAATCTGAATAATCTCCTTTAACCCACCTTGAAACCCTGAACAGGACCTCGGCACATGTCATCGAAATCTATCTCCATTCCGCCCATAAATAGATAGAGACCAGCTCGGGCTCCAGGACCCAAAACCCTGTTGGGATATGGCGAAGTATCCGCACTGGCGCTATAACCATCCTCCACATTCCAGTCCATCGACAGGCGATTTTCCTCGCGGAATATAAAGTCGGGAATAATGCTGGCAAGGGATGGCCAAATGAGATTATTGAATCCTGGTATCAGGAGTCTCTACTTACCCTTCCGGTTTGAAGATCTCCGCCGGACTCAGAGAGTTGAAGCTGTAGCAAACTCCGTCTTCAGTCACAAACTTGTGGAAGATCTCATTGCACTTGACTCCGGTATTTCGCCACTTGCAGTTCAGATAGGTGTCATCGAAGGTGGGCGATACAGAGGTCAGGCCATCAATAATCTCCATGCCCTTTCTAATCTTCTCACCCAAAGCAACGTCATGTAAATGTGGTTCGCAGACCTGTGCCACTGCTCCATAGATGCCTTTTCTAAAGGAAAATTTTGAGATAATATTGAATAAATATTAACTTAAAATAAATTTTATCCCTTCTGAAATACAAAATCCTACTCGAGATCAGGAACAATACTCACTGATTATCTGTAAGATCCAATATTCCCGAAACATTATTCCGAAAGTCGCGAACCTGATGGTACGAGTCCGTAAAGTTGAAGATGGAGCGACGCGTCTTGGTCTCCGGACAAACGGTGACCGCGGGAAAGGGTATCTCCCACACGGGAGTGGACTTCTCGGCAAAGCTGACAATCACCGGATTGTTATTCCACTTGTCCCAAATATTAAGGGTTAGCTTGACGCAGGTGAACACGGACAGGAGCAGGACACAGATCCAGAAGAGGCGCTCGAGAAAGGGTCGCTTCTTCTCTCCCAAATACCGAATGCCGTGGATGGTCGTGTAGTCGCAGTACTCATGGATGATGGCCTTCGCCGCCTGGAAGCCGCTGCCGTACTTGATCTGCTTTTTGGTGTCCACCTCGTCCTCGCTGTCGTCGGAGACCGTTTCACGAAACGCGGGCGCCATCCGTGCCATTAGGGCGGCCCTTTTCCACTGGTTGGCGGCACATGGCTGGGGACGCACTGCGTCCACCACATCGTGGCTGGGCGTGTGCGGCTGTGTGCTATCGGTCGACATCCGGTCCGGCGTGCAGGAGATGCGTTGACTAAGTCAGCGGTGCGCACGCGACGACTCCGGCTTTTATAGTCCTTCGTCCTGCGAAGAACCGAGGGGTGCGGCTGCCCCCAAGGATTCCAAGGACTCCGGCACGCACTCCGGGCGTCGACTCGGAGAGGGACAGTTGCGTTTTCGGTGGCATTTCGCTGTATTGTTTCAATTACTTCATTTTGCTAAGCTGGCGTAATTCGCAAGCGCGCACCGGACCAGAGCTCTGTCCCCGGAGGGCTCCCAGTACCCCGAACCTGCTGACCAGACCCCCATAATTGCCAGTCAGCTGCTGCTGACCCATTGCCCCGACTAAATGTTACCTTTGAGCCTGCACTAGGCGAGGCATTCTAATTAGCCGGCGCACTTTAAGCCACTCCAGCCAAGCCCCAGGTCGCAGCGTCACACTGCCACATCCTCTGGGCCTTGTCCGAGCCCCATCTCCGCACCAGTCCTCCATCTGCAGCCAAACCACGGCACGAAAACCCCAAATTGAAAAGGTAACTCTGCGCCGGGGCTTATGCATTTTAAATCCCGGACGCCACTTGACTGCAGGCGCTTAGCTCGACCTCGAAACAAAATGCCAAGCGGCTGTAGACACAAACAATGTCTAGTCAAATCCTCAGGTTAAACGAGGCACAACAGTGGCTAAGCTTTAGTGTTCTTCTAGGCGAATTGGGAATACACTTACCAACGAACTAAATATGGCAAATAATTATTACAGATATAGACAATCTTTAACTCTTAAAGAGTGTGAATAGTTTATTCATTTATTTATTCATTAAAAACACAGGGTTTCAGACACTGTAAACAAATCTAAAGTGCGGCCACATTATCAGTCCTAGTCTAAATCTGAAAATTCTATTATATAAAGAGTTTTTATTTTTAAATTTTATATATGTTCTATGGCTCTAAATACTAGTTCGGTTATATATGAGACTAAGAATTATATTAAGGCCTTAAAAAGGTCGTCAGTTATTTTGTTAAATAATAAGATCTATATTTAAGGCTGTTGTTAAAATTTTATTTGATTTTTCAGTAATAGAAATAGAGTCGTTAATAACCATTTGCCAAATAGGACCACCAAACCAACATACCCTCCGAAAAAGGTCCTGCCAAGAGCCCAATGACCAGCGGCAAGGACACAACAAAAAGGCGCTGCGACTATTTTGGTGGCGCATTTTAATAAAGTTAACTGCAGCCGGCGGGGGGCATTGTGTCTAAATTTTTTGGAGGTCCTGGAGGTGCACGATGCCAGAACAACTCCCAACTCTCACCCACCCCTTTGTTGTGACTTTTCATTACTGCGTCGCCAAGCTGCCAACAATGCTGGCATTGTCCTTGCACTCCTTTTTACCTGTGCTCTTTTTGGCAGCCGTAAACATTTGCACACTTCTTCGCCGTCGTCTGGCGATCTTCATTTATTTTAATGAGCTGCGAAATAGAATTTCTGATGCCTGCGAGACAGGAACCAGGTAAACAACCCTCTCCCTGGCGAACTCCCATTAAAAGACTCGATTGAATATATATATATATATCTGTATAATATATATTTGGTATTCTCATTCGCATAATACATTTCATTTGGTTGGTTTATATGCTTTAGCTGGAGGACATTGAATTGAATGTTGTTACTGTTTACAAATTGTTTGCTTGGTAAGTACATAATACGTTGATTAACCTATTTACATAGCCGCTACTTTTGATATTAGGTATTACATAATATTACGCATATTTGATTATGTTACTAGATAATAATATTATATATATAGCAAGTTTCTCCGAATTTGTTTTTGAAACACCTGTTGTCACTATGCTACTTTTGATATACAATCTGCGTGGGTTAATATTTGGTTCTCTCTACGATTAGTTGAATCCGTAAATTAAATATCCAAAATATAAACTCCGGTTAAAGCCAGGTGACCGACCGGGCATCATCAACAATGATCTTATAATTCTGTAATTTGTATCCTTGTATAATATGGGTATTAACTATATACAAAGCTCGATTACCGTTTAATTCGCACCACCGACAGGCGGTGACAGCTTAAGCTTTCCATAATTTTACCTATACGTTCACTTATGCAGTTTTGCCGTTTTGAAACCCAAATAAATACTACGCCCGCTTGAAACGCTAAACCCAAAGGACATGCGAACAACACACCAACAAACAAAGGCAGTTACGAGTGGACAAAACGAGAAATACAAATACAATACGCACAATAAATGGCTGTAATTGTTATAGCTAACCGCAGGATATAGTAGCTGCTCGTATGTCATATCTATGGCTAATTTAAAATGATATGTTTTACGTAATTTACGTTATTCGTTTTCAGCTTAACACCTTTACCCGACCCCTTGGCCACGGCCCGCCCTTTAGTTAGTCTGTTACAAAAATACTGAAGAAATTGCACTTGTATCGGGTTACGATCGCACACAAAACGCTCCTTCGAGAGGACCAGGAGACTATCCGCTTGACCTTAGACTTCTGACCTATTGGGGTGCCAGGGCCAGGCCCAAGCCATTCGAGATCAGGCTCAAAGCGTTGGCTGTGGTAGATGCAGTCGGTCCAGAAGTTTCCTGAAAGTAAAGAGAAGATAAATTTTAAATAAAGTAAATTAGTTGCCATTTGAAAGTTATTTTAATTCATCTAAAAAATAAATTTAGCTTTTGTTTGGCTATATTTTAATATTAAATGCAGTATTTTTTGATATAAACAATTTCGATATAGCAAACTGTGATATTATCTCCTTCTTTTTTAAAAGTTACTTAAACTATCCTAGCAAAAATTTCAAGGATCAGCCATACTCACAATGCTCAGAGTGCGAACAATACAGGCCCTGGTGGCCGGCGGCTCATCCGCTTCCAGGCCGGGTGAACTGCCCCTCGAGGAGACGGATCCATTGAGCAACTTGACATTCAGCTCGTCGGAGTGATGCGTCTGCTGAGAGCTGCTGGACAGGCGTCCGTCCAGCGAGAGATCGTCGCGGTGCTGATCCTGCAAGGGAATCGATACATTAACTCAGCCTAAGTAAATACCTTCCACAAGACAACCCACCTCCTTGGGACTGGCACTGGCGCTGGGACTGAACTTGATGTCCAGCTGGCAGTTGGTGTCCATGTCGCTGGCATTGCCATTTTCACCCGATCCGGTGGCCATTAAATTACCAGCCGCCGAGGGCGACAAATGGCCATTGTTGTCGTTGTTGTTGTTGTTGTTGTTGTTGGTGACAATGCTGCTGCTGCTGTTATCCAGGATGCTGTTATTGTTGCTAATTTTGTTATTGTTATTGGGCTCATTCTTGAGCGTCGGCGTCACTGGCATCTGTGGGGGCGTCTGCTTTGTGGCAGCTGCCACCTCATCAGCGGCTATGGTTGCATGTCCATTCTCCACGGCGGCAACTGCAGATGCAATGGCCATGTTGCTGGTGGAGTTGCTGATGCAATTGTTGTTGCCATTGTTGTTGGCCTCATCGCCCAGCTCGTAAATGTTAACCATGTGCGCGGCCTGGGCGTGGACCATCAAATCCCAGGGATTGGCGAACGCATCCTTGCAAACGGCGCATAGCAATTTGGCGCTCGTCGGTGGCGTCGTCTCTGCAAGAATTAATTAGTTATTTAAGTTGGAATTTGCCAAGACGTACAGAGAGAGGCATAGAGGGAATGGGCAGGCATAAATAACTCAATTTTAAATGCATTTGCAAGCAGCCACAGGACACGGACTCATACATATCCTTCTCGGGCCAGATGTTGCTGACTGGCAAACAGGCCTGTCTAAGACAAACACTTTGGGGGCTCCCTTTCGACCCCTAGGACAAAAAGTGTTTAACAATCATAAATTAATTGCCAACAGACAAGCTGCCACGCCCACGCCCACTCCTCCTCGAAGGACTTGGCCTCGCCACTTACTCGCACTCGCCGCAAAGGCAACATCCTGGCACTTGCATGTGAACCTCAGCTTGCAATAACTTTTCTTGTGGTCCAATAACTCAGACAGCTCGCCAAAGCTTTCCCGGCAGTTGCCGCAGATTAATGTGTCCGGATTGCCTGTAAATATGCAAAGGGAATGGCTTTTTGAAAAGGAGTTTGAAGTTAAAAAAAAAATGAAGGAGCAAGAATTAAAATACATTATTGTTTAAATTAATTAAACGGAATCTATATAGAACTTTTAAGTTCCCAAATTCATATTTTCTTTCACACTTCAAAAACCTTTTCAAATGATGTCACATTTATAAAAAATTTTATCAAATATTTTAAATTCGCTCTGCTGCTTTATTGCTTTCATTTACGAATTTCATTAACGTAAGGTCTTGTGTTATAATTAAGTTAAGAAATATATTGAAATTTGAAAAATATATATGTTGATCAATATTGATTCTTGCTTCAGTTCCAGGTGTAAAGTATTTCTTTGTCTTTGAGCTTCCCCCTGCTTAGAATTTAACGTGTTTTGAGTTAGTTATTATTGATCGTCTATGACAGAAATGAGACTAGAATAAGGAGCTGCCTAAATTTCTTCGAGATATTTTGCAACATCCAGAACAGACATTCAGCTCCGCTTTGCCTTTCTCCACTTCGCTTAAAAGCTGATTTATTTTGAGATGTTCATTCGCAGCTATATCCAAGTCCCTTTTCTTACGGCCACCCAGCTGAAGACCTTGATTCTTTAACTGGGGAAGGGGATGCTTTACCTCGGCAACAGGTCTTGGAGTGTGAGCTGCTTTTTGAACCCTTCTCTGAGCTCTTCTTACTTCGGCATAGAGATCTGCTTCTGCTAGGAGTACCTTGTTCCTGTCCACTACATCGAGTATCTCCTTGTTAGTGTTCCTCCTTGCACGACTATCCAGCTTCATATCTTTATTCTTTACTTCTAAATTTGGAGCTGCGATTGGTGTCTGTTCTGGTTTCTTTATGCCGGCTTTAGAATTTGCGATTTGATCTTTTATGTCGGAAATGGAATTAGCACTAGGAGTAGCTTTCATCTGTTCGCGATATTTTGCTAGATCAGTCCAGACCTTGAGCTCTGCTTCTAGCAATTGCTCCCTGCTTAAAACTGGATGTGTTTTAAAATATTCATCCGCAGCCTTGTTGGTGTTCCTTTTCACACGGCTTTCAAGCTGGAGTTCTTTAGTCTTTGAGTGGGAAGTGGGACTTGGAATGGCAGCTGCATTTTGAGCCCTTCTCTGAGCTCTTCTTACTTCGGCATAGAGATCAGCCTCTGCTAAGAGCACTTTGTTCCTGTCCACTCCATCGAGTATATCCTTATAAGAGTTTCTTCTTGCACGGCCATCTAACTTCATATCTTTATTCTTCAGGTCTGAATTAGGAGCTGCAATTGGCAGTTGTTTTTGATCCTTTAAGTCGGATTTAGAAGCTGCGTCAAGTTGTGGTTCATATTTTATGTTGGTAATGGGACTAGGATTAGGAGCTGCTTGAATCTGTTTGCGATATTTCGCTAGATCAGTCCAGACCTTGAGTTTTGCGTCGAGTGCCTCCTCCTTGCTTAAGACTGGACGTGTTTTGAGATACTCATACGTGGCATTATTGGTGTTCCTTTTCACACGGCTCTCAGGCTGGGGTTCTTGTTCCTTGTGATCGGAATGGGGAATTGGAATGGAGGCTACTTTTTGAGCCCTTCTCTGAGCTCTTCTTACTTCGGCATAGAGATCTGCCTCGGCTAGGAGCACCTTGTTCCTGTCCACTGCTTGGAGTAACTCGTTACTAGAGTTCCTCTTGATACGGACATCTAATTTCGTATCCTGTATTTCGGATTTAGGAGCTGCGGTTTGGAGCTGTTCTTGGACTTTTATAACAGGAATGAGACTTGGATTAGTAGCGTCTTTAATCTTTTTACGTTGCCTTGCCATATCAGCCCAGACCTTGACCTTTGCTTGGAGTACCTCCTCCTTGGTTAGAGTCCGACTGGGTCGAAGAGGTTCATCTGCGGCCATATTTGAGTCCCTTATCACACGTTCTTGCTGTCCTTTATCCTTAATTTGGGAAATGGGTGTGATAATGGCATTACTATGATTCCCTTTTTGGCGTGATTTAATTATGTCGCTCCAGAGCTTAGCCTTGATTTCGGGCCCCTTGTTATTGTCCAGCATTCGAGATGGTCTGAGCTTCTTATCCTCGGTTTTAGCACTGCCAGGTTCCACACGACTGCTGTGCTGTAGTCCTGGATCCTCAAGTTCTTTATTGGCTAAAAACTCGTTGTATTTCACCAAGTCCTCATAGGCTTTCATCATCAGTTCGGGATGGATCATATTTCGGTGGATCCGAGGCAGCTGCACCAGAGACTGGGACTCTGCCTCTAGATCGTTCTGGAGATTTGGGGCAATGTTAACGATACTAGGAGCCTCGACGACTTGCACACGTGGAGCCTTAGTGCAGCATGGCAGTTTCTTGGTAGTGGATTTATGTTTGGTTGACTTGGTGGGCCCTTTCGTGGGCCTTGGGGGTTTTACTGTACTTGTCTCGGGAGCTGATGTGGGCTTGGTGGTCGTTTGAGGTTTTACAATAACCGTTACCGATTCCTCGTTGTCGCAATTTTCCGGTTTCTTTGTGGTCTTAGAATCACACTCGTCTGGTGACTCCGAATCGCAATCATCCTGGCCTTCGTTCTTACCCGTTTGTTCTGCTTTGATTCCAGGTCGTTGCATCTGCTGCCGTTGCTTAAAAAACTCGGACATCTGTTGTAGCAACTGCAATTGCTCGGTTGTTGGCTGCTGGGGCAACAACTTGCTTTGTTTGGACACCGGGGACTGAACCAAGGAAGACTGGCCAACATGTGGATCCTTAATGCTTATAAACTTGGCCGAGGAAGGCAACGAAAGCATCTGGGATTGAGCAAGAGACCTGTCAGTTAGCCAAGATTGTTCTAGATTGGCGTTGTTCTCAGCCTGAATCTTCGGCTGCTTCTGCTCGAAATTTTGGTCCTGCAACTGGGGCATATACTCGATATGGGATCCGATTTTGTCCCAAGCAGCCTCCTGCTGATTAGGATACTTTCTGGGCTCTTCTTGCTGGCCGCAACTGTAACCGGCGGATGGCCGCTTGGTCTGCAGGCTGCTCTTTAGGCTGAGCAATCCGTTCACATAGTCCTGCGACATTGACTTTACCTCCTTGCCCTGAATGGGAACGACATTCGATATGGTTGCAATGGCTGTTGACAGAACGACGATGACGAAAAGCGCTGGTGCGCCAGGTGACCCAGGTTGATACATTTTCACTTTTTCGGGGACGACGTTGTTAGCCGGCAGCTGATTTGACAAACTAAACTTGAAACAGCTGGATGAAAGTTGATTGAATTCTCAAGGGTAAATTTGTTTATAAATAAATAAACATTTAAGATAAATATTTAGCAGATAATTTCAAACGAAATATAGGAGTTTCTTCTTGGTGAAAAGAATTACAAATAAAGCTGAATTGTCCTTCTAACTCCTCCTTCCTGAGACCATTAACCTCTTGCTAATTTGTATATATTTTTTTAAGAGATCCCCAAGAGCTCCTTTGAAATAAATTCTTAAAATAAACCCCAACTTAATCTCCTTAATTTTTGCTATTTTCCAAGTGACCAAACTGAGACCAATACTCACTGTAGACTTTGAAGGGTCCCCACTGCTGATGCAAACCTAATTGCTCCTGTGCCTGATGTTGCTGTTGCTGCTGCTGCTGATGTTGCTGCTGTTGATGTTGCTGTTGCTGCTGCTGCTGTTGTTGTTGTTGATGTTGCTGCATCAATTGGCTGTGCAATTGTAGTGGCGTCGCCGCCTGATGAGGCTGCGGTTGCTGTGGGGACAACGCCAGAGTCAACGGTTGCAGCAACGGTTGCTGATGTTGCTGCTGCTGCTGCTGTTGCTGCTGCTGCTGCTGCTGCTGATGGAAGGACCCTCCCACAGGATATGGCTCACCGAGCGCCGTTTGATTAGCAATTATTGCTGACTTTGCATTCTGCGGCAATGTCGTTGACTGGACCGCCACGCTGCTCTTCAGCTGGAATCCGAACTGCTGCGGATGCTGGTGTGGATGGGGATGCGGATGCGGATGGTGGGCCAGGGGCATTTGCTGCTCCTGTTTGTATTGCGACCAGTGGAGGGAGCCCGGGGCCGCGGACGCCGTGGTTGCCACATTGGTGAGCAGATTCTGCTGATGCAGCAGCAGCTGCTGCTGGGGCAGCAAATTGGCCATCGCCGCCATGGCAACGGCTGCCACCTGCTGCTGATGTTGCTGTTGCGCCGCTGCCGCCTGTTGCTGCTGGGCCTGCTGCTGCTGCTGTTGCGCCGCCTGCTGCTGCTGCTGGTGCACTGCAGCCGCCACTGCCGCCGCACTGTGGTGTCCGTGTCCAGGTAGCTGCTGCTGCTGCTGCACTGCAGCCGCCATTCCGCCGCCATTGGTCATTAGGCGCTTACGTTTCTTGGCCCGCACACCATTAACTCCGCCGCCGCCACCTCCACCTCCGCCGCCACGGAGCAGGGCCGAGGAGCAGTAGCTGTCGTAGAAGTAGTCCCTGCACCAAGAGAAATTTGTACGTCTTAGTATTATTTAACGACAAATATTAGTTTGTGGATAACTACATTTTGTGCGAGTTTTGTTTTAATAAATTGGAACTATCTGTTTTTAATTTAATTTGTATAATATAAATAATATTTATTAAAATCTGGATTCAAGAAAGGTTTTTCTCTGTGTACAAAATATTAATAGTCCCATTTAGCTGATAATCTCCTGAACAAGACAAACATTTACTTGCTAATTGAAGTGTCAGCAACAAAGTGTTCTTCAAAAAGTAAAGAAATTCTGGGAAAACACATATAAAAGACTTATAAATTTTCCTAGATATATTTGTTCATTTCCTTTCCTAAGACTTTATTTTCTCACAAAAATATACATAAATATTATAAGCAAAAATCCTATTAAAGCTATTAAGTTCATTCCCCAACATGACCGACATCACACCTCCTCATTAACTGCCAATGAACAGCCTGCCAACTGTTGCCTGTTTGAAGTGTCCGTCATTCAGCCAGCCAGTCAGTCACTCCCTAGGTCAACCCATCAGTCCGTCAATATTTGTTTAGGCTGCCATTTCTGCCGTTTGAATTGTCATTTGGCAATTGTGTTTGGGCCGCCCATTGGGTTTTGTTGCCAGTGATTGATACAAATGGCGAAACAGGCCAAAAGCAGACATTCCCCTCTTCCCAAGCAATTGTGGTCAAAATTGGGTAAATAGAAGGCGGGGGAAAAAGGTCCTGACAAAGAGGGCGTGGCGCAACAATTGTGGCTTTTTCGGTCAGTTTGTGTGTGGGTTTTGGACAAAAGGTGAGAGGAGAAGGGAAAAGCGACCGTTTAATGACAAACACGAGAGCACCTGGACAGGGATATGGGCAGTGGGTGCTGTCGGGCCAACATGTTTGCGTTTTAATTACAATCAAGTCGATGTCAGTTGGGAGCTCTACATGGAAAGAAATGTTTTTCATAGCCATAAAGTTTGATTTTTGATTTAAAGAAATTCAATCGAAATTCAATTGATTTGGTAATAGAATTACAAATTTAAAAAGTAGAAGAAATTTAATACTAAAATCTGAACTGCTGAATATCGAAGTAAATATCTTTATATCATTTTTTTTTTCTGTTTAACCAACTTCTCGGCGATGTTCTTTTTAAAGGCCCAACGCATTCCGCTTCGGCATCATTAAGCTTAAATTAAATATTTCCACACGACTGCCAAAAGAGAGGGTAGTCTGGCTGGTCTGGAGGTCTGCAGGTCGTCAGGTCTCCAGCTCAAGGCCCAAATAAATTGTGGATGTCGCTCAGTCATCATTAAGGCCGCGCCACGACAAAGACAAACAAGTGCACATGTCAGCGGCAGGACATTATGGCATACATTGCAACTGTCACTCACAGGATACGCCTGGATACGGAATACGGCAGCCGAAATGCGAAATACGAGTGTGTTGACGCAGCCCTCGAAGCTCGAACACTGACCCACGACGAGGAAAGTGGAAAAGTGGGAAAATGCGGGAAAGCCAGGAGACGAAAACTTGGGCTCGTACCAAAAAAAGCACTTGACAGCCAAATATTTTATGCCGGACGATGGCTGAAACAAAAGGGCGCCGACGCCCCCATCGACTGATGAATGGTTCCTTATTTATTTATTTATTTGCGGACCCAAGGAAAGCCGTTAAATGATATGTAAATAAAGCCTAAGTGAATGCCACATGGCGGCGTTAAATTGACCAAAGTTAACTTTTAGATTAAATTGAAATGAGAGTCAAAAATTGAGCTGGATTCCGGAAGGAGTTCTCCCACCCAAACTTACCAATCATTTCCGGTCTTGCTCACATTCTGGCGTTTCCTTCCGATCTGATGCGCCTTCGGTTCCGCCACCATGTTGACATCTGCAAGGAGAGAATGGGAAATTCTTAATAACAGAAAACCAAACAATTTCCTTTGTATCCCAAATTTGTATAAAAAAAATACACACAAATTTCGGTGCCCTTTGAAGTCATTGTCTAAGCAGTCACACAAAGGACAATAGCCAAAGCAGCCCTTTTGCATTTGGCATCCTTATCAGCGCTCTCCTTTCATTATGCAAATGAATGGACAGGAGCTGTGAGTGATTAAAAAATGCTTTCTATCAGCCTGCATGTCCATTGGCCAAATGCATTCCACAGATAATTCAATCTGGCTGGCCCCCAAATCATTAATCTTAATAAAAGTGCGCCACAGCCAGACTATACATTGTCAGTTCTTGTTTATGCATAAAAAACAATGATGCTTAAAATGGAATATAAGGGTGTAGTGGGAACAATGCCCTTTGGCAGGGATATGAGTTTTGAGTTCTTATAGCATTCTATATTAAATATGAATAAAAATGGGATAAAACTATAATTTTAATGAGAAATTTTAGTAGGATATGTGTAAAGAAATATATTTAAATAAAAAATAAAATATATTTATGAGCAGAAAAATATATTTTATATATTTTTTTCCCCCCGAGTAAGTGTATAAAGATATCACCTTGTAAAGTGGCAAACCACATTTCATTTTTCAATGAAAAGGGTGCGACAGAGCCTGATTTTTTTATGTACATAGCTGTACATAGCTATCTGTAGGAGGAAGGGACCCGCGCTCGTTCATCATAATTCATGACAAAGTTTGAAGTGCGACGGCTGCGCCTCGGCATTTGGCCGAAGGAAATGGGTCCTTGGAAAATACGCAAGAGGAGAAGGGGAGCTAAAACCGGCTATATCTACAAATTGGTGGGGCAAAAAACCAAAGAAGTTGGCTGGAAAAATACTAGAAGCAAGGCGGGCGTGATGGCATTTCCACTTTTCTTATTCTCTTTTGCAGCTGCTTTATTTTACTCTGAGATGTTTTTCTTTCCTTTTTTTAGACTCCCTTTTCCTGCCTTACTGTCCGACTGCTCGGCTGGCAGGCTATAATTAAGATTAAGGATAAAAGCGTAAGAAGGATTTGCAGAGCCAACTCCTCCTCCCCCACCCAATGTAAATCGGTTTAGCTGGCCTGGCCGCATTTTCCATTTTCCATTTTTGCAGCGCTTCAAAGTCAATGGCGCGTAGCAATGAAATATTACGCTGCTTCTCATTCCTAATCAGTGGAATTAGCATTCCACATTTAGCATTTTACATTTGCATAAGCGGTAGTATTTTTTTTATTTTTTCTTTTCATTTTATTTTGTTGTCTTGTTTTTTGTTATTTTTCTTTTTATGAGTGCGCGTGAGAACATCAAGCATCCGCCGCGTTGCCGGCAGCAGAAAGGATGCCGCTCATCAGCTGACATTGCGCACTAAGTGCATTAAGTTGTTCTTCACACGAGCCAGGGTATTCGCATGGCAGCTGCAACTGGCGTTGAATTATTTCATTAAACGCTGAACTGACTAGACGACTGTCAGTGATAGTCAGAGTCAGAGAGTCGGGGGGAAAAAACAGATACATACCAAGACAGTCGGGCTGTCTGGCGCAACATTGAAATTTCATTAAAAGTATCGTGCCAAGATTTATGTCCGCCGCACTTTAAGTTTTTGCGGGCCGGCACTGACTTCCGGACTTTGGAAAATACTCAGACATTAGTCGGTGGTGTAGAGCGCCTAAGATATGGCCACTACACATGCAGAGGGTGCTGCTCCTTCATTACGATTGCCAGGACCTCCGCCTTTCTTGTGGCTTTTTTCGCGCGTTTGTTCGATTTTAGTGCAACGCTTCCGCTGCCGTCGGCCATTAACCTGACGGCTTCACTCTGTTTCTGTGCTCCAGCCCCACTTTTAGGTATAGCTTCAGCTGAACAAAAACCCCACGTATCCTGCGGACATGCAACTTTGGCCCAGGAGAAGGACGCTGAAGTGAGGGTTAAGGTCTGGAATGTCTATGCAAAGCAGCAGCAGCCTTCGTTAGTGGCGAAATTTAAAGTAAGAATTTTAAACAGCTGCGAATATTTTACCTACATTTCAATATAAAAATGAGTATGAAGTATAATTTTTGGAATAATTATACTTTAAAGTCATAGTGTAAGTATTTAAAGAAAGATTACTAGCAACCCTAAAAAATATAATTATAAACTAAAGTAAGCTATATCTCCCTCTTCACAGCTCAAGTTTTTATGATTCCCAGGACCCAAAATTGGCACAAGGACTCACCTAATGTCTGGCTAAGCACCGTTTTGCTGTCCTCGCCGTGGCAGGCATTGCGGGCATCGAACGGGTTGGTGAACTGCACAAAGGCATAGCCTTTGTGCATGGATATGCCTGTAGGGACACAAAACACAAGGGATTTATTGAAGGAACACCACTACCACTATGTAGTTGTAGGACTTACCTGCGAGGCGTCCATAGATCTGAAACATGCGCTCCACATCCGTTTTGGAGCATTGGAAGGTATTCAGATTGCCCACAAAGATGCGCGAGTTGACCGCCTGCGGATCCTGCGAGTTGGTCTGGTTGGACAGCTTGGACAGCTTCATGGTGGCCGCTTCAGGACCTGCCAAGGACACGGGCCGGGGCACTGGATGAGCCAGAGGCAGTGACAGTGACAGCGGCACCGGCGCAGCCGCGGCGCACGTGGGTCCAAAGTACAGGAACGCAATCCTGCCGTCTCCTACTGTCTTTGTCCTTTTTCCCGCCGATTTCCCTGTGCGTTTGTTGTGGCTTAGACAACGACGACGACGACGACGGGGCCTTTTGTCAACGTCGACGGCTTATTGCATTTGCAGCTGGATTGCAGGATTGTTTTCTCCCCTCACCGCTGATTTTTCCAGTTTTTTAACGAATCCAAATCTGTGAGCGGCCGCAGATTGTCCGTTTTTCGCAGTAAAATCTGCGGAATGAAAAAAAAGGAAGAACGCATTGCACAATAAATAAAAATCACATTCGCTTTTGTTTCCTTTGGTTGTTTGTCGTCGGGGCTTAAATATCAAATGGATATCAACTGGCGTATCGTGTATTTGCATTGAATATATATATGTGTACGGGATTGGGTTTCGCATTTTCACGTTGTTTTTGGGGATTTTTATCTTATCGCCAGGCAATTAAAATGCAAAAATGCCTTTTTAATTGAAATCAACTTTTTCAGTCGTTAATACTTTAAGCAGCTTTAAGAATTCCAGATAAGGTCCAAGGTTTGGACAGTAAGCGATCAAAGATTGGGCTTCTATGATTATTATTTGGATATATATGATTATTAAGATATGATATATTAGTTTTAAAAATGAATATTTTAATATTTCAAGGGCTGTAAGAAATGGTGTAAAGGATTTAAAGGATGCTTCAGAAATCACAGAGTATTAAAAACCCTTAACAAGAAGTCAAATATCAAAAGTCGTTGTCTTAAAATTTTTCTTGAATATTTTAGACTGCCTCTTAAGGGGCTTTAAAACACTACGGTTTTTAGGGAGCACCTTAAATTTGTTTTTTATTATTGTAAAATTATTTAGCATCATTTTTGACACCTTTTCAAGGTTTTTAAGTGATATTTGTTGGACTACTTATACATAGAATTCTTTTAAAATTCCTTTAGTTCTTTGTCCTTCAAGTAGTTCATTTTTACGAAGGTCTGATTAAATTTTCTTCACTAAGCTTAATGCAAATTTTGTGTGGAAATTTAATAAAACTATTATTTTGTATAGCTCTTACTATTTCTTGGACAACCAAGTACATTTCCTTTTATTTTATATAATTTGTCCCATGTATTCCTCTTCATATTTATGTCTTTTGGCTTTTACTGGGGACATGTTTTGAGTTTGTTATTAAATTGAATTACTTTCGAATTGCTTACACATACAGCAACAAGCCCAGTTGGGCACCCATTATTCTCACTGGAAAATGTAGGGAAAAGGCAGGAAAAACTGAAGGAAAAAAGGACATGAAGTGGCGAGACAGCAACAACAAGGAAACTTTGCTCTCGCTCGTGTAAAAGTGAAAAATTAAGCGTTTTTATTGCGCTTTCGATGGCAACAGTGCAGTGCCTCCTTGTCTCACACACTCACCCTCTCGCTTCCTCGTACACAATGGCAACATGTGTGTGCTCTTTTGCATAGCACAACGTGTGTGTTGTGTGCGTGTGTGTGTGTGGCAGGGGCATTAAAATGTACAAAAGACGTGCATGAAATGAAAATAAAACATGCAGCCATAAAAATAAAATACTCGTGTACTAGCAAATTGTTAATGTGATTTTTATGCAATCCACACCCCAAAGGAATTTATTGCGGATTTATGGCCGCGCCAGTTGGTGTTAATTGTGAAAGCTTTTGGCGTTTCAGCCAGGCTCTAATATGGGCTAGAAAATCAGCTGATTGGGGGGAGGGAAAAGAGCTCAGATAAAACACACTTGCTAAGCAAATGATATTTGTTCTTGTTTGGAATTGTATTTGTCTTTAATATTTTGGGTTGTGACTTCAAATATAAATCTTTACCAAGGGTTAAAGGGTTTTCTAAGGATTCTAAAGAATTAATAATATATTTAATTAGACTCAAAACTCCCTCTATCTTAATAGCAGCTGTAAAACCCTAGTAAATATGCATTGATCCTTATCTGCAGCTTTTCCCATCAGTTTTATTAAAAGCGTTTTCGCATTGTTTGGCATAAATCAAACAGAGAGAATCGGGAAAGGAGTCCGAAGGAGTTGGATATTCATGGCTTTGGCTGCATTGTGCGCCAGTTATGAGTGAAAGGCTCTTTATTTATTATAATGGCATTCCTGCCAGCCATTCTCGCCGGTCTCTCCTGTCGTCTGGGCTTCATCCATTCATACGCCCATTCAGGCATTCACTCACTCATTCAACGGTTTTTCTATTTTTGTGTCGCATTGTCCTTGCAAATGAAGGAACAACGCCGTTGGCAAAATGCACAGTGAATAAAAAACGGTTAGATGTATTGCAAAGATATCTTTTAAAAGGGAAATGAGAAGTCACTATCTTATCAGCCAGACGTCAAAGTCTGTCAAGGATTTGAATACGTTAATAAACATGTTGAAGCAATCTTAAAAGTAAAAAAATACTCCAGAGTCAATAACACTAATATTTTTCTCAGTGCTTTCCATATAACAGCTTCCTTGGTGACTTGCGTTCGCTATTGTGAAAATCCGACAACAATAGCAACCACATCATCCAGAAGTTACAGTCAGTAAAATCGTATTGAATATGCAACAGTTTTCGTGGCCTATATTTCGGGGCTGTTGGCATTTTAATGAACGCAGCTTTAATTAAAGCAGCAATAAGGAGAGAAGGGTAGAAGCTGACAAGTTTAAGCAGCAGGTGACTAAGGGTAGTCCTTCCGCTCTTGCTGTGTATGTGTGTGTGGGTGGATGAGCTTCCTCAAGTGTCGGCAAATGGTTAGTTAACTCGGCTTAATTATAATTAACTGCACTACCCAAGTTCAACCGCTAGAAAATGTGCAGGAAATTGCCGCCTTTCTCTTTTCTTCCTTGCTGGAAGTCCTGTGGGGAGTTGTTTTCTTTTTTTTAGGCCCAGAACAAAGACTGCCAGCGACTGCACTTTTATTTTCCAGACGCCTGAGCGCAAAAGTAAATTAAGACGCCTTTCGTGGCAAGGAGCAAGCAAGTAAAAGTCGTCGCCGGCTAAACTTTAGGAATCCAGGAGGGGATCTCACCTCCTGCATCTTGCACCCCTTTGGCCACATGTGAGCTGAACTTTGTAATTGAGTGTGGAAAATATACACAAACAGGGCTTAAAGTGTGGAGAATAAAACGAACATAAAATGCTCTGAAAAAAGATTTAGAGCCCAGAGAAATATATGAAAATAAAATGTTATTAAGATATTTCAAGAATATGTTTATTACTACACTTAATTCAAAAATAAAACTATTTAGTAACTAAAGTTGACAACCTTCTTGACCAATTTAAAGGACTCTCCCCGTCAAGCCTTTAATTACTTTGGCTCTGGATCCAAACGCCTAATGCCCCGCATTGTCTACGGCTTAAAGTCAACGACTCTGTGGACTACATTCAGCGGCAGCTGCTTTTCCACATATATATTTCTTATTTTCATTTTCTCCTATTTTTCCTAGCCGGTGTTAAAGCGTTTTGATGGGACCTCGACGTGCTATAAATAATGCAGCAAGCCATTAAGCGGAGCTGCTGAAGAGCCAACGAGCCGATGCTGGCCAGGATTATCGGAGGCGAGCGATCAAATGTCAAAGGACACATTTCGTCACCATGCCTGTTGCTATTTACTGCCTACTATGAACGCCCCGTGTGTTTTCTTTTTCCCATCTATACATATGTTTATATGGCAGACAACTTTTCATTTCAAATTGCCAGCGGCGGCGGCGGCGGAGCTGATGATGAGGTGATGGGAAAGAGACTGGATCCTGGGAAATGGCAACCCTAATAGCGCAGCACAAAAAATGAATAGACGTTGTGGCCCATTGAAAGCCGAAAAGTCAACAAACAGGAGGAGGAGAAGGCGGCGATTCGTGCCAGATAGGGCGACAAATAACCCCAATTGAAAGGGGGTTTTGAGCTTGGCCAAAAAAAGCGAGGGGAGGAGCGATGATGATGATGATGATGCCATGTGTGTATTGACAAGCCAGCAAACAACTTTATTCATAAGCAGTCAAACAGGACGATGGCGGAGGCAGACCGAGACCAACCAGACCCGCAGACGTGACCCCATGGCCAAGCCAAACAGAATCCCATCCAACTCGAATGGAATGCATATGCATGCACTGGGAAAAATGTATTCTTATATTATACAAAAATTTTGAAAGAATGATATGCAATTTTATAAGCATTTGGTGTGACTTTGGGAGCATTATTAAGGCTCTAACTTGATTTTTGGGATTTAAAACGCATTAAAATAAATATTAAAATATATTAATTACATACTTAATATTTAAGCTAGAGATTAATATTCTAGAATTTTTATTTGTATATTTTCTGCTACATTTCAGAAGCTATTAAACCTCAACATCTTGGTGTACATTTTCACCAGTGCCAGAGCATGTGCCCAGAGATGACTTCACGTCTGCTGGCGATAACTCAGTGGAGTTTATAGAACTCGGACCCATGCAGACTCCAGGACTTTCAGGACTTTCATGCTATGAAATTCATACTTTGAATAAAGTTTAAAATTCCAAGGGAGAGCTCAACATTGTCGATAAGCGGGGTACGTGTCACAGCCGCATCACAATATATATAAAATATATTTTTTTTGTTTACTGTTAATTTATTGTAATGCGCAAAGCAATTGACAAAGGAGTGAGAAAGTCAGTTATGGATACTCGCATTTAAATATATTTACAAGCGTATTAAGTGCCAACTATTTGCATAAATAACAAGAAATTAATAACAAACACGCGGCGCCATGGCAGCAGTCGCGCAAAAGTTAATAATTGCTGCATGTCAACAGGCTGTGCAGAGTGGGTGGAAAATGAAAATTGGGCGGAAAATGCGCTTGACATGTGGACCACATATAAATGAAAAATATGCAAAAAGGAGCAAGAGCCAGGAAGGGGTAGAAAAAACATGGAAAGCCGAAGCTGGAATACCATTTTATCACTTGACAGTAAATGCGTTTTATTACGTTGCTCATTAAATAAATTAAATTTGCAAACGGACACAGGGAAAACGGATAAATCCGAAAAGTATTTAAACAATTAAATGGCCAAGAAATTTGTACTTTAAATTTTCGAGAATCGAACACAGCGGGCATTCACATGTTGATCATCCAGCTTTTAATTGCGGGCAGAAAATAAAATTTTAATTAAAACAATGGTAGATTATCGATTTTAAAAAATAAAGATATTAAAAAATATTCTAAAAATAATTAAAGAGCGTTAAAAAGAAAATAAATAAACCAAAGATATAAATAATGATCATGATCAAAAGAAAATCATGTTTATCATCAGGATAAAAATATTTATAAATATGGAAGATACATCTAATATTAATTATTTAATAATTAAATAATTTTAAGAAATTATCAAACGCTTAAATAAGGTACAAAATGCTTTCCCCACTTTAAACTAGCCTAAAAGTCGGCTGCAAATTTCCAGAGGTATCGTGAAAATCCCTTGTTAAAACTGCACCACTCCTAACATAATTTGATAATTTGTTTCGTTTTGTAATAATTTAATGCGATTTGGGGATATTATATGTTGCCGCTCTTCACACAGCCGTTAAAGTGTTAAATTTATTGTTATTGTAGCCCCCTGCTCGCAGTTTCAGTTGCAGTATTTGTTTTATTTCGCTCTTTTCGGTTCAGGCTGCGGTTCTTTAGCGCGCATTCATTCATTATCCCCAGTCACTGTATACATACATAGGAGTGTGCACTTGGAGAAAAATATAGCCAAACAAAATATAAAAAAAAAATAAAAATAAAAGATATAATAGTTCTTGATTTTCTTTCCTTTGAAAGAACTTTAGTTGCTTTAAACAGAAAAATATTAATCTTAAAATGTATTCTTTTCTTTTCAGTGTATTTAAATATGTAGGTATATTGGTATTTGTGTGCATGGTGTGTCTGGTGTGGCAATAAAAATTGCTTGAATATTTTTCAGTTTGTTATGCATTCTCCTCTGCCACTTGGGCCGCAACAACAATTATGAATAACTCGCTGCATAATGGCCGGCAAGCTGTTCATATGGAATTTCCCTGTATGTGGGATCGATTACTAGGAGGAGGATATGGGTATACGGATAGGGAAATGGATATATGCATGGTAGGGTCTACATATACACATATATCACTTCGCCAATTACGTGGCAGGAACGGCGACAGTAATCAAATAATTGTTGCACTCGCTGTCATACGTATCTCTCTTTGGCTTTAATTATTTGCCCAGTTTTCCATTCCTGTAATGGACACGTCGTAATAAGGATATGCGGATAAAGGCCTGAATATGCCAACGATTATCCTTGTTATATCATTTCATATTAATGTTGATTTTCAATTTATGCACGCTTGATTTTAACTCTTACTTTCGTAAGTAATAATAAAGAGGATAAAATATAGGTTTTGTGGCTTATTTACAATTTCTTCGTTTTCTTCACGGACTGAGTAATCCGGCAAGCAATACCTTTATCTGTTGTATAAGTACCACCTAAATAAATATTTAACTTATCGCATTTCAGCTCAATTAAACTCGATTGATTTAGCTGAATGCTAATCACTTAAAATAGCATTTTAATGTGGAAAATAATATGAAAATCCCCCTTATTTTGTATTGGTTACCCTTTGATTATGCCCCTTTATAGTTTTTACCCCCGATCCAGAGATAACCTTGCGCTTCCCACCACTTGACATCGAATACGAAATCGAATGATTCACGCACAAACAACAGAAACAGAAACATATATTCCACTCGAATGAACTTCATTGGCGATTTAATTGTTGCGAATTTTTTGTTTAATAAATGCCATGGGAAACATTTTTTTTTTTTAATGTTTATTAATGAAATTCATATTCATGCTGTGTTATTCAGATTGCTGAAGAGCCAAATTTGTGGCGCCTATTTAATTATCCAATTACAACGCCAGAGCAGCGGCAGTGCGAGAAATTTACTTAAATGCGAAAATGTTCGCTGGCGGCGCTTTAAATTCATTTCATCGGGAAAAATGCTCGGAAAAGCGCGGGTGTAGACGTAGAGGCGGAAGCCAAAAACCCAAAAACACAAACACAAATTCGAAATTTTTCGGCTATCGCTTTTGGCTGAATGCGGATGCGGCGGATTTGGTTACGGTTCTGTTTTGGGTTTTCGGTTTTTACTGTCGATATTTTGCCCTGCTTGCCGTTGTTATTTGTTTGTTATTCCTTCGGTTTTGGTTTTTGCCAACACATGCGTTTTTGTGGTCCATTAAAACAGTCAACGGCAGCAAATACCGTTAACTGAATTTATGATTAGTGATAGGAATATGCAACGACTTTTACCATACAGCAAAATACCGTATAAGAAAAATGCAAGTGTTTTTAATAAAATAAATTATAATAAGAAATGTTCTTTTTATTTATTTCATTTTAGTAAAAACCCCAAAATTAAGGTTATTAGGAAAACAGCTTTTAAATAAATATTTATTATTTTATTATAATTTTATTTTAATATAATAATATTATTCAAAATATAAATTATAATAAATTAAAATAATATTTTAAGGGTTATGTACAAATATTAATAGATTAAAATTAAGGTAAGAAACTTATTATGTATAAGCTATTTTAATGCCATAAATCACTTGAAAATATATTGCTTATCAATTTTGTTGACAGTTTCCAAAGTAAAATAAAAAAAATTGATCCGAATGATAAATCTAGCTACTGAACCATCACTGATATCGCTAATGTCGTGGAAATGGGCTCGAGCAATAACAACAAGCGACGGTGGGGAAATTCATGGAAAAGCGGCGCCGCACAAATATAGAAAAACTATTTGAAAAAGACCAAAGCAAGGTCAAGTGAAGAGAGTTTTCATTTGGTATCTCTCCCATCCTCTCTCTCTGCAATCATGGCTCTCTTTCCCCAACCACCATTAACGTCACCAGCTGCGAATGAGTCATTACTTGGCACAGTGTGACTAATTTTCCAAGAGACCACTGTGCCTGATCTCTCTCTCGCCACGCTCATTTATGTGGGAGAGCCAGTAGATTGGGGGGGCTAACACAAGCGAGCGAGCGAGACAGGCGTACTGTGGAGTGGCCCCCAAACAAGTTGGGAGAAAACTACATCGATCTACTGTGGATCAATTAGAAGAAATATCACAACAAAATTTATTTTCATATATATTTGAATTTTTTTAAACAAAACTATAAACAATATTACAACTTAAACATTAATTTGAAGGGATTTAAATTTACTGTTTTTTATTCTCTATATATTTAAGCAAAAATATATTCCAACATTTAAATTAATATTAAAATAAAAATAAAAATTTAATTAAATTTGAAAAATATGTTCTTATGTCAAAAAATACCCATTTAAAATAGACCCAATAATTTTACTGTATCTTTGACACAGTGCTCTCCTAAATTAAGTCGCATTTTTATCGTTTTCATCCCATAGTGCAACCGAACTACAACAACAGCAACCCGTTGGACAGCCCAGCAATATCAGAAATTTTCTTCAATCGCCGCTAAGATTTCACAGCGTTTGGGCGTGTTTCTCTGTTGTATCTGAATATATGCGGGCTTCAATCAATTCATAAATAATAATAATAATAACTCAACAGCAAACCGAAGCCGTAACAGTTCTGCCTTTAATTAAGTTTATTAATTGAACCAAAAAATTATCGCGATAAACTAAACTCCAATTGCAATATTCGCATCGCTCCAACCGTGTGTCTGTTTGTGTGGGCAGCATTTGTATTAGTGCGTGAGCAAAATTATTGTATAATCGCCAAAAAGAAAAAGAAAAAAGAAACAGAAATAATAAAAGCAAAAACGCCAACGCGAGAATAAAAAGCAACAAAATCCGAAAAACTTGTTGAGCTAGTGAATTTAGTTGAAAAACGCCACTGAAAATATCGACAACAAGGGAAACTAGTGCGGACTGCTGGAAAACTTGTTGAGTTGTCTGTAAATTACGGAAACACTGTATTCAGCGATTACTGGAATACCAAACTGATAGATTACTGTCAAGTGAACTATAAAATTATAAAACCCCTCCAAAAAGCGTATCTCTCGTCACCGCTGAATTCCCTGACTACCAGAGAACTACCTACTTCGTCATGCAGGCCATCAAGTGCGTGGTTGTGGGCGACGGAGCGGTGGGTAAGACCTGCCTGCTGATCAGCTATACGACCAACGCCTTTCCGGGGGAATATATCCCCACTGTATTCGATAACTACTCCGCCAACGTGATGGTGGACGCCAAGCCCATCAATCTGGGACTTTGGGATACGGCTGGACAGGAGGACTACGATCGCCTGAGGCCGCTGTCGTATCCCCAAACGGATGTCTTCCTCATCTGCTTCTCCCTAGTGAATCCCGCCTCCTTTGAGAACGTGCGGGCCAAATGGTTTCCCGAGGTGCGTCACCACTGTCCCAGTGTCCCGATCATCCTCGTCGGCACCAAGCTGGATCTGCGCGATGACAAGCAGACAATCGAAAAACTGAAGGAAAAGAAGCTCACACCGATCACGTATCCGCAAGGACTTGCAATGGCCAAGGAAATAGCAGCAGTCAAATATCTGGAGTGCTCGGCCCTAACGCAAAAGGGCCTGAAGACGGTCTTCGATGAGGCCATCCGGTCGGTGCTGTGTCCGGTGATCCGCACCCGTCCCCGCCACAAGTGTGAGCTGCTCTAAGATTCGACCCCAACAAAAAATAATTGACACAAAAAAGTATACAAAAACAAAAATTAAGAAGAGAACTAACACGCTGGAGAACAAAGCGCAAAAATTCTGTGCAAAATTTTCATATTCATTCGCTTTGTGTTGGGCTTACAGTTACAGTGTGAGTGTGAGTGTGAGTGTGATTGCAAGTGTGTGCGAGAGCCAAATGAGTAGTGTGTGTGAGTGATGGAATGAGTGTGTGAATGAGCGAGCGTATTTTTGTTTTTATTGTCAGCTTTATGCGGGGGAGCAGCTCAGCAGCCACAAAAAAAAAACAAAAGCAAGAACATCATCAACGGCAATCAGCGAGTGCATCCAAGGGTGGAGCAAGAGGGGGGTTCGCAAGGGGGTCTCCGGGGGGGTCAGAACACGCATAAGCAAACATTTTTATCTATATATAAGATGATGTGTGCATACACGGCAATATATTTATAATGTTAAACTTCTTTAATTTGAAAGGAAATGCCAGAGATGAAATGATCATTTTTGTTCAACTTAAATTTATTTTTTTTACTGAAAAAGAAATGGTTAAAATAAAATAGAATCATTTTTATATGCAAAAATATTTTTTATTTTAATATTTTCATATATTTAAATAATATATATATGAATTAATCTTTACATATTTTTTAAATAGTTTTAAATTTTATTTTTCAATAAAAAGAAAATATTTACAAATATTAAAATTGCATTTAAAGTATCTTTCTTTTGGCTTTTGGCACTGTAAACTGTTTTTCCAAGTTCGAATTAGAGAAGAATAATTATTGTAAACAATTTTTACTTTAGAGCAAAACCATAACTTAAGATCATAATATGTGCTACCCCAAAACAAATGCTTTAAATACATAATTTTAATACCTTTGAAGATAAGCAGCACACTTTAGATTTTTTCTGCCCGTGTTTGCACACATGCTGCTGTGCGCTGGCCTCATGCAGAAGGAACTCAGCCAGGGAAAATGTATGACAAATCAAATAAAATTAATTGTAAATAAATCTAGACGATTTAGAGCCTTCGGCGCCCCCTAACACAGTCACAGACCACGAACCAGAACCATTACTAGATAGCTCTTATCTGGACGGGGTAGTATAAGTAAAAGGCCCCGCCTATGGCCAATATCTGAACAATTTGGACTGAGCAAAAATTATATACGGGAACTGGGATTCGGGGAAATCGGCAAGCCCGAAATAGTTTTCATTTATGGATGAGGTGTGTGTGTGTGTGTGTGTGTCTGATCAATGGTCTTCCCATTCAATGCATTTTTGCCTGGACTTTATTTAATGTATACTAAATGCACAATTAGCCTTTACATTGATGTTAATTTATATACTGATATTTATGTTTAATAAATGCATACACTTTGCCAAATTGTTTTTACACAGCCGAAAAATAGGAAAAAACATTTTATTTATATTAACACATAATTTACCAATAAAGATTGTAATATTAATCAACAACAACAACAAATAAATGTTTGTAATTATGGAGATTTATAGGAATGGATGGGTTAATGTGGGAGCTGGGAGTTGGGATGGGGTTTACAAGCCCCCCCGGCATAGCATACTTTTTGGAGAGCTTCGCAAATTCAATACGCATCACAACTTTAATCTTATCGGCCGTCACCACCACCGGCATTTGTCACAAAATTTACGATAATTATTTCCGATTGCCGGACCCGGACCGGAAGCTCTGATCCCCCGTCGTTGACTAAGCAATTTGCCAGGTCCAATCATACATACGTAGGCACAAGGGGGGCTCCATCATATCTATATTTTTGTGGTAATTCTTTACGCTGCCAATCTATACTTCGATTGTCGTAATGAGCCAACTGATGATGGATTGTGGCCGACTTTGTTGCGGTTTCTGCGTTGAGTAGTGTGCCCTCCACCGTGCCCAGTGTGAATTTGACAAATAATTACATAAGACAACCTGCTGTGCCACCCACCAACCCCCCACGCACATTTCAATGGCCGCTGATGGATGGGACACCACCTCACCCTGAGCGAAAGACCAACCCCCCAGCTGTGTTTTTGTCTGTGACGCGACAAATCGCATAATTGACCCACATTTTGAACAAACGTCTCGCCACGACAAGAGGGGCCTAAGTGGGGGCTGTAAAGTCAATTTAATTAGCATAAACATTTGGCTAGCATCTACAACTACGCCTCTAGAACATGCACCTTTGGCACTAGAATGCACCCAAGAAGAAGAGCCCAGCATCCGCTGAGTGAAGACGCGTTGACAGTCGTGGAATTTGCCGCAAATACCTTGTTGCATTTTCCGTTTCAATTGTGCGGATACAATGTTGGGGAGAAAAGGGAAGAACTTTGATTCGAAATAATAAAATGCTGAAATAATTAAGATCAAATCCCATTATTTTTATTTTAATATAAATTTTTTAACTAAATTAATCAGTGTATCAAAATATTCCTTACGTATAGTTTAAAATACAAAATAAAATTGTATTCATTTTATTTCTCTTTGAATTGCGTCTGTAAAAATGTTTCTTTTAAGCAACCTCAAAAATTTTGTTTTGTTGATAAAATGAATTGAATTAATTTTCCATGGAATAACTAAACTTTAAAGGAATATTTCAGAAAATTTCAGAACTTTTGAAAAATGCTGAACAATTATACATCAATAAACAAGAGCTGTTCGAGATGTAAAGAAACATTTGTATGCAGTGCATTGTAAATTAAAACCGACATCCTCAAAACATCCTTGAATTGCCTTTAATTTCAACTCCCCAGCCGCATGTGAAAATATTGGGATGAACAGGGGAACCGATAATCCCTGATTATCCCACCATCGAATCCAAGTGGAAAACTGCAGAATGGCCAAAACACCAAATACCAAAAAAGGGACGACTGCTGTGCGATGCAAATCCATTGACAAGTGTCGCATAATCATGCCCCATGTCAAATGTAAATGCAAATGGCCAAATGCTAAATTTATGCACTGCATGCGTGAAATTAAAAGGTTCCCCGGCCGGCTTGGACCTCGCTTTGGTGCGGATTTTGGACCAGGTCCGTTTGGTTTGGCCCAACAATTTAGAGGAACACGCAATTTGCCAACTTTCATGCGGTTAACAATTTGGCTAAATCAATTATACGCCCTGTGCGCCCACCACGCATATTCGAGTCTTTTTTCTCTCTCTCTCGGATTTTCAGCTTAATTGAGAGATTTCCAGGGAAATCGTGGCCAACGTGGTGGGGAAAGCCAAAAAATTTAATATGAAAATTGCTGGAGCGAATCCACCGAAAAAATTCCTAGATGGCCACAAATTTCATAGAAAATGCCAATAAAATACGCTCTGGCGCAAAAATTCCATGCCGCATAAGGCGAAGGTAAATTCAGGTGAGCTCGCAGCTGGGATGGCTGGCTAAAAATATTTCACACTTCCGCCAGGCGGTAGAGGAGGATGCTCCACCTGAACCTTTCGCAGCGATGCCAACAGGATATGACAAGCTTGGCCATGGCCGGCCACCTTTTAGACCCACCTTCTTGGCCCCCTTGAATGTTGCCTAGAATGTTTTCGGCGGTGGCCGCTTCCTGCCAGAAAACACATTGCAAATTATGATGCGAGTACGAGTGGCGCGAAATGTTGAGTTTCCCCAAAACTGCCAACTCGAGAGAATTTCATGTGTGCGCTGATGTTTATATTGGTTTTGGCTTTCGCTTGAAAAACAGAGAACAGGTCTCAGGGAAAAAATAAATGAGGCGAAACTGCTGTCACTCAATTGGATAATGGAGAGAAAAATATATATATTTTTAGGAGAAGTAAATGAGACACTTTTATAGGAGACACTTCTTGGGTAATCAGTCACTAAGAAATAGTATTTTATTTTCTATTGTCTTCTACAATATTATCAGGAAATTTCAAAAAGCTCGAAATAAGCTCTACATAATTCTAATTTAACAACTTTTTAAGTTAATAATGATCATTTTGCATTAAGCCGTTGGTACATTTAAACAAAACAGATGGCAGCACTTGCAACAAAACAAACAAAGGACACAATTGGTACGGATGGCCAACAGGCAGCCAGGACAGCCGATGGGACAGCATAAGAAGGAGCTTGGCCAGCTTGTGGCGTAGCCAATATCCGTTGCAAGGATAACGCACATATACACGCTCTGATGTGTGTATCTTCCTTGGTCCTGTTATTGATAATCTTTGTCATGGCTCGACGTGAGCTTCGACAGCGGCTAACAAAAAAGCAAGGAGTCAACGGCGGATAACGGCGTGGCAGGAACAGTCACTGCCAGGACAGCACAGGATATACAGGAAAAAATAGGTTTAAGTTTTAAATACCATATTTAAAAGAGTCTTCTAAAATGTTAAGTGATATAAGCCGTATTTTAAATATGATTTAAAATAAATCTTAAATATCTATAGCTTATTTTGATTTACAAGAATTTAATTAGCACCATCATCTCCAAAATGGTAATTAAAATCGTTAGTAATTCCTAAAATATTTTTGTAAATTATATAATTTTGTATAATTTAAATTTTGTTAACATATTTTTCCCTGTGCACCGTGCACTCCTCAATAGCTGGCCACAGGACCCAGCCGGCGGAGTAATGAACTGCGGCAGGACCAGACAGGCCACGAGCCTTGTTTGTCCCGCCGATCGATGCTGCTGGAGTCGTGGCGAGCCGAGTCGAGTGTATTAAAAACAAAGTCACACTGTGTGTGTCCTGCATCCTTGTGCGCTGCCAAAGTCAATGAACAGGGGACGTGTACCGGCTGCCAGGATATGAAGCGTGTGCGAAAGTTTTCCACAATTAGGATGCAGCAGCAGCAGCCCAAGTCCCCCTTCCCAATGGCAATAAAAAAGTTTAAAGTTGCGTTTAAATATGCATTCCATAATTCATGATGCCAGGACTTGCCTGGGCCCCTCCGGAGGAAGCCAACGAGAGGAGCTTTGATTTTCCAGTCAACGCCGACAGCAACACGTTTCCGCCATTTTGTTGGCTGGCTGGCTGGCTGGCAACTTGTTGCATTTTCCGCATTTGAATGCTGGCAAACTGGGCGGAGGTGGGGCGGTGAAATGTTGACATCCCGAACATGCTGAAATTTCCGCCAGACGACAACGAGATGCTGCAAAACTCGCCAGTCTGACATTCAAATCGGTTTCTGCAGGTGTGCATTCAGCATGCGAGTGTGATTGTGTGTGAGACTTTTCATTTTCAATTAAATACAATTACACGTCCAACTGTCAGCTTTCAGTTAATAATGAAGAGTGTACGGGCCAAAAATACGGGGCCACTTAGAAGAGCGCCCCAGGTAGAAGTCTAAAACGAACGAAGAAAAGCCCCAGCGCTTTTCACAGTTTTCCCTGCGGCGGCGGCTTTGCTCTATTTTTGACCACCTCCCTCAATGTTCGGCCTGTAACACAGTTCAAAGATTTTTACCCATTCGAAAGACTATTTAAAAATATATAAACAAAACACAGAGCGTCATGGGTTGGCTCGTATTTACATTTGCATAAAATAAATGTTGGGTAAATATACTCAAAGATATAATTCTCAGGGTGCTCTGCAGCGAAATCCAATCAAATGAATTTACTTTTTAATATAATT